GATGGGGGCGCAGTGGGTCAGTGCATGGTCACTCGGTGACAGCCGAGCAAGAATGGGCCTCCGGTCTCCTGAGTCCTCATCAAGTGGTTTCTAGTTATTGTGCTGATAACTTCTGAATTGAACCAGAAAACGGGAGAACTAATTTTTTGGTTTAAGTCTTTCCTCTCTAAAGCTATGGAAGAAAGCTTATAAAATTATTTTTTAAATTTTACCTACTGCTTAATTTTGCTGCTTCTGTCAAGTACCATGATCTGCACAAATGTTATGTGAGAACCACTGGACTATTTAAAGCAAAGCGCCACTAGGTTGGTCTCTAGGTGTTCCCACAAGTGGTAGAGGACATGCTCAGAGGGCTGTCCCAGTGTTATCAGTATGAGAAAGTTGACATGTAGACCAGGTTCTTGAAGATCTTTTGGAGAAGACAAAAAAACACATACAACAAAACAGAAACAAATGGATTTGCTCACATCCTGGGGACTTGGGTATGAGTTCCAGATTTAGGAGTAAGAAGTCTATTGAAAGAAAGGTCTTTGTCTTTTCATCTGTTGGTCTCTACTCAACTTATATCAGACATTACCGTGTTAGTGGACATAAGTGTGGTTTAACATTTCAAGCTGGGGTTTCCTCATTGCTTCTGCTTCTGCCTCTTAAGTTGTTGAAAAATACGCTAAATCTGACAATAGATTGGGTATCATTTAAGTTCATCTAGATGAGTTACCTTTTGAAGGTCACCTTCTGGTATGGTTTGGAAAACAGTGCTCCGCGTATAATTCTTTGTTTATTAACATGATAAAGGCTCAGTGAACCCTAAGTGATTTCTCATTTATAACAAAGTCTAGTATGTAGCTAATTGAGTACATGGCTACTTTAATTATTTTGTTACGGCTAATTGTTATTCACAGTGATCATGTTCTGCAGCTTCTAAATGTAATATCACCTTACAAGTTTATGGTTCAGCCCCCTTGGATATTTCAGTTCTCTGTTTAATGTCAGCATATAATTTTATTAGGTTCCTACATATTGTCCCTAATATGTAATTCTGACAAGTAATAAAGCACTTTTCCCAGCTCTTGTTTGCCTATGTGAATTGTAAGATGGATGGATGGATGGATGGATGGATGGATGGATGGATAGATAGATAGATAGATAGATAGATAGATAGATATCTTGTCTGCCACAGATTATCCATATCATTTTGAAAGGTTAAATCTTTCCCAGTCCATTATATTTGTGTTTAGATTTGTTACAAGATTTAGAATGACAGGAAATGAGTTATAAGGATTTCCTATTTATACTGATTTACAGTTCTTGCTTTTTTTCAATCCTAGTAATCTCTGGTTTCATAATATCATGCCATAGAAAACTGAGCTGGTTCCTGCTTTGTTTTCTACCTGGAGCTGTTAAAATTGAACCCTGACATTTCAAAGAACTTTGCCATTTAAAATGTACAGGCTTTTCCATAGCACATCTTTCCTTAACACGCCTTTACGTGGTGTGTGAAGTAACAGTACTACTTCTGAGCTAAGAGATTGTGATGTCACCGGGTTCCAAATGCCATGTACCCAGAGGGAGAGCTATCCCAGTCCCCAGGAGCAGCCAGGCCTAAGGGAGCTGAGCCACTATGTCAGAGCATTTTGGCTATGAAGATTTTCCTGGGAGTGTACACAGGAAGGTAAAGTTCTACCAGCACAATATGCCATATCCGTAGTCCAAGTTGTTTTTGTTTTTGTTTTTCTGTTGACCTTTTTATATCTTGTTGTAAGCACTATCAAGTACATTTTCAAAATACGTCCTCTGCCACTTTGAGGCAGATCTGCTTCTCCTCTTGAAAAAAAGAAAGCATAGGCAAAGATAAGTGGGTTTTAAAATAAAAATGTAAAACCACCAGTGAATGAAGAGAGGAGGTTGATAAGTACACAAACTTGTCAATCCTTTCTGAAAAGAGGCAAGTCTTCAAGGAAGGAAATCCATGCGTACTTCATTTTGAATCTAACTGCCAACAAGTCTATGTTCTTAAAGAAAACTTGATTTTTGAATTTTCTTTGTTTCTCTGGCATATGGAACGTTCTAGTTTTCCATCATGACTCACATAAGCTCTTTCTGTCATGGTTTCAAGCCCAATCATTTCACCCCAAATCTAACAGGATCTGAAAACTAAATCAGGGCACATTTTGTCTGGTGGGAGGAAGAGCAGACAGGAGGTGGGGAAACTTTTGTATTCATTTTTCCTGAGAAATGATTCTGCTAGAACAGTAAATGATGTGTGGTGCTGTTTGTGTTGATTTGTTCACTCACAGTGATTCTGTATCTGTTAGACTTGCACATAGAAGTTTTCTTCCCTTGCACTTGGTGCACTGCTTTTCCTCGGGTTGACTGTGACTCTCCATCCTCGGCAGCTATTAGCTTAGTCAATGTATTCCAGGCTTATTTAAGTTTTAGGATTCATATTGTGTGACTTTCGCTCCCAGCATCACATTAACTGTTTCAAAGCAATGTGCCATTAACGTGTTGTGGCCACGTCTCTTGCTTTGTTGTTCTCCCCAGCGATCTCAGACTATTGATCCTGCGGGCCATCTAGGGAAAGATTTATGATGTTAGACTGTGGTTGGGTGTTTTCAGGTCTTTGGTGTGCCTATCTGATCTTCTGGCGTGTTGCATTAAAGTTTCAGAGATCACATTTGGAAATGTAAATGAGTGTGCTTTATTTAGGTTGCAATCAGCCCCTCAAAATTAAACTTGTTGGTGTAGCCCTCAGTAGGCTCCAGTAATACTGTAGTGTTGAATTTTAAAATAATCTCACTGCGCAACTGTACACGAACAAAAGAAACACTTAGTGCAAGTGTTTTAGGAACCATGGTGGGTCATGCACGCATTGAATGGGAGAGAGAATCAAGTGTTAATGCATTAAGGACTTAGGAGGTAAAATAGTTTCCATGCAGTAAATAACTCTTCAAACTATTGAAACCATTTTTTTTTTTTTTGTCAACGTGATTACTTAAGAAATCACACTCTCAGCTTCATATATGTTTTCATCTCAGTCAGGAATAAATGTATGTGATATTAATGTTTAAAATATTTTTCTGATTATAGAAGTAATGATTGTTCATTATAGAAAATTTAGAAAGTGGAAAATAGTCCAAATAAGAAAAATATCCCACTATGCATATCATATCCACTGTTAACATCTTAGCATACTTTACATTTTTTCCATGTCTATATAACTAGACACTCAACTCTCTCTGTTCCTCCCTTTTGCCTCCTAACTCCTGTTTCTTAGCCAAATTTAGGAACTTACTATACATGCTATTTTATGGCCTGTTTTTACCCCATATAATATTTTGAGTAAAAAAAAATCAATTATTCTATTAAAACATTATTTTTAATGGCTCTCAATGTTTGATCATTATGGCTGGACTAAAATCTTTATAATCAATATCTTGTTGTTTGACCAAATCTTATTTACACACCCCTCTGTCATTCCCACTTTTTTGTTGCTGAAAAATAATGCTGGCTGCATTTTCTTAGAGGTAAATCCTTGTATGCTTTTCTTAGTATTTCCTAGGATTAAATGCCTAGAAATAAAATCGGCCAAGTGATAAGCAGATTGACAGTAATAAAGATAAATACACACATACATCCATATATTTATATGTAGATATTTTCATAAATTCTAGTATGCTTTATTTGTATTCACTATGTAGTGAAATTCATTCCTTGCAATATTAGTTCTACAAGTTTTCCACCACCATAATCAAGAAACAGAATAGTTCCCTCACGTCAAAAAATTGCCTCCTGAGTGCCTTGACTACAAAGTATGTTTATTTTTTATTTAGAATATATAAAGAAGCAAAATGAACTAGAAACCACCCTGCTATGACCTCTGTTGATATTTTTGTTGGTCTTTTTTCCCTCTTTCCTACAAAAAAGAAAAAGATCTTTTCTGTTTGTAGTTTTGTGGGTTTTTTTACTTAGTATATTTGGAGTATATTTATATTTAATAATTAGAGTGGGTTTTGTTTTTGTTTCTTTGCAATTCTAAATAACCCAGTTATCTACATCTCTGAATATTGCTATAATTACTTAAGAGTTCTAAAAATAGTGTTTAGATCTCAATGAATGTGTACACTTTGTCCAATTAGATTTTGTCAAATTGTTTGAAAAGTAGCTATACCAGTTTACATTCTGACCAACTGTATAGAAAAGCCTGGTTTTCTATATCTTTATTAATATTATTTTATAATTTTGTAAGTTCGATAGATGAATAATGGTATTTCATTATTTTAATTTTCATTCTTTGACTTCTTCTGGGGTTGAGTTTTCTTTTTCCGTGTGTTTTTTTGTACTTTTGGATGTGATTTACCAGTCTATGTCATTTGTGGGTGGGGTAGAGGGCTTATTTCTTAAGTGCTCTCTATATTAGTAACATTAACTCTTACAGCTACATGTTGGAATATCTTTTCCTTTTTTTCTCATTTGCTTTTTATTTGGTTTATTGATTTTTACATTTTATGGAGGGTCTTATAGTAAGTCCATTCGTTTGCATTTGCTTATTTTTTGGAGTGTCTGTTGAATCTAGAAAGGTCTTTTCTCTGTAGGTCAGATATATAGTCATCCATATTTCCTTCACACTTAGCTGTGTCAAACATTTCCCATTTATTTTTTCCTTTTATATTCCTGATAGCAGGCTTTTACTGTGTTGTACCAAGGAGCTGTAGATTATGTACTTACATGTTAATGTACTTTTATCAAATCTTAATATTGTATTTGTGTGTTTTTTTAATCATATGCTTTCACATACCATGATCTTTTCATTGAAATCTTCTATTTAAAATAATAGCTTAGTCACATTTAAGCAAGTTAAGCAAAGCCCTCTTTTCCCGCTGTTGCCTTCTTTGGTTTGCATTTTAGGTAGATATTATGCATCAGCTTTCTTTCTGACATTAGGAAACAGCATACTTACATTGCTAAATAACTATTTGCTTGTTTTTAACATGCTGCAGGACATTGAAGTCAAAGTAAGTAGCAAAACAACGACATACAATGTGCAAATGGGTTCTCTTAAACTGAACAGAGTGGAAGTCACCTTTCTAGGAGTTGAGCCAGGTGATACTTGATCACCTTGCAAAAAAATACAAATAAAAAGTGCGTGGCCCAAGGATGGGAATGCCAAAATATATCCTTTCATCATTTCTTAAAATTCCTGGTCAAGTGTATATTCAGCATTCACAGAACAAAAAATATGTTTAAAACTTTCCTAACTTGAGGTGATATAGGTACGTGATATAGAAAAAGGTCACTTAAACATAATGAACAAGATACAAACAATTGTTTGAAAAATGCATTATTTTACTAACCTAGAAAAACATAAGTAACCACCTTTGTCATGATTTTCAAGAATCAAAAATATTTTATTGTGTTTTTATTTTGTTAAAAAGACCATAAATTTAGATGTGGGAAAAAAGATTTTTAAATTAACTTCATTATTTTTATTATTATTGATTTTTAATTATTCACATAAACATTTATAGTAGTTTTTGGTCCTCTCTCTAAAAATAGCTGCTTCATAAAAAAGAAAATAGACCAATACATGTATTTATATTCAGGTTTCACTGAGTAATTTAAGGGTTCCCAATTATAAAGTTTATGTATACAGTGTTGCATAGGCATTTTTTTGTTGTTTAAGAAAGGTTAATAGCCATCTGTCTTATGCCCAGATTAAAATCAAAGTTTTATTGTGTAAAAATATTAATGCTTGAAATTACTCTCCAAAAGAGAAGTTAAATAAAAACTGTCTCTGCTGTATTATGATGCATTTGGACAAAGTAGGACACAGCTGTTACAGTAAAAAGAAAGTGAAAAAACAATGCAGACTCATTCTTTACATTTAAATACAGCAATCATCATCCTATTAATGTTTTTCTATGGCAGAGACCTAATAGTTTGCAGAAATCTTCCGCTTTGTGTACTTATTTCTAATGTAATTTATACTTGACTTTTGCTTTGCTGTTGCTTTTTCCTAATATAGTATATTCTTCATTTCTTTTTATAGGCGAGGATGCTGGAAGAGAAAGATCGAGCGATCAAGAGGCAGGATGCATTCTACAAAGAGCAGCTGGCTAGACTGGAGGAGAGGGTATGACTATTTCTTGTCATTGATTCTTCTATTACCACATCTGCAGCTTCCCGTATATTTATTTAAAAATCAATAAATGAAAACTGTTACTGTTTTTCCTAGTTAAAAAGTGACCAGGAAGTGAAGAAGCCAAGCAGGGAATGTCATTTCTACTGTGATAGTTTTGAGTATGGTGGTGTTATTGGTTCATTGATGCATTTTACCACTCATAAACCTCCCTCAGATACTTTTCCTTAAATGCTTAGAAAGTGCATGGCCTCTAGGTTACACAGTAGAGTGCTACTCATCATCATCATCATCATTATTATTATTCATAGTTTCTTTTTTTTCCATTAAAAAATTTAAGTGAATATATTGGGGTGACATTGGTTAATAAAGTTATATAGATCTCAAGTGTATAATTCTGTTAGTGTTACTCTGAACTCAAACATTGACTAAACTTGAGTTCATTCTCAGAAATGATAGTGTTTTAATGGATATATTGTCTCTGTGAAAACTCACTTTCACTGCATTTGTGGCTAAGAAATGAATGTCCCTGTAAAGAGTGGTGGACAGGAGCCCCACCGGAGAGTAATTTCAAGCATTAATATTTTTACAGGAGCTGAATAGTAGGACTTAGGGAGAAGAGTTAGGAGGGGGAAGAGTTGAGGTGCTACCTGTAGTCAAAATGGACTTTGAATTGACAGAGTTGCAAAGGAGGGAATTAAGGCTGAAGCAGAAGGTAAGAATGGGACTTCAGGCATGTAACCAGTGCCCCTGTGCAGTGAAGTAGATTTGCTTGGAGTAATTTCATACAGAGAACATGATGTTACCGAGTTAGCTTTCTCTCCCTTTGATTGAGACCCCAGCATTTGATTTGTTTAGAATAAAGTGTTTACTAATAAAGTAGGTAAAATAAGAAGTGTATTCTTAAGCCCCATTCGGTACAATTATTTATATGTTGAAGATGTTCACCCATCTCTGTATGTCACTGAACTCAATGCTTCTTGAATGTAGGGACCGATTTCTCATTCATCCAGCAGATACTTAAGTACCTGATGTGTATCAGGCCCTGGTCTAGTGCCAGAGATATATTATTGAAGAAAATGAACTAAACTTCTGTCCTCCTGGAGCCTAAATACAATGAAAACCCAGTATATATATCGTGTGGCAAACTGAGATGATGTGGCGAACAATAAAGCAAGGGAAAGGGCGACTCAAGGCCTAGGAGTATAGCTTCGGGTTGGCTAGAGGGGAGAGCCTGTGTAAAATAGGATGGCATTGGGAAGAGGTCTGCAGAAACGGGGGAGCCCCAGAACCCCGGAGCAGGAGCGTGGTTGGCATGTTTAGAAAGGCCAAAGGGTTGTGAGCAGAAGAGTATTCTGGCTTCTGTCTTGAGCAAGAAGCAAACGTCCTAGGAAGAAGTTACGACAGCGACTCAGAAAAGGGACGGTGAAGGCTTGGGCTAAGGAAGGGAAGAAATGTGTTTGGGTATTTCAGAGGCAGAGCTGAGCAGATTTGCTGATGATTTTGGTCATGATTGAAAGAAAGAACTCAAAGGTACTCTAGGTCTATGGTTTTTACATAGGATGTAAATTTACATAGAATGGATTCTCCACAGGGGAAGGATTAAAATACGGTTCTGGGTGTGTGAGGTGGAGGAAATCAGGTGTTTGATTTGGGATATGTTAAACGTGGGATATTTTTTAAGACATCCAAATAGAGATGTTAAGTAAGCGTAATGTGGAATGGCTTAGAGCAGAAGTCAGCACATTTTTCTCTAAAGGGCCAGATAGTAACTATTTTTAGCTTTGCAGACCATGTGTGGTTTCTGTCATAGCCCTCAGCTATGTAAGAGCAGCATAGCCAATATGTCTGTGAACAAATGTGACAGTGTTTCAGTTTATTGAAGTTTGAGATAATCTTCTTTTGACAATACCTCCCCCCTACTCCCACCCCCCACCCCCATGCATCTGAAAATGTAAAACCTTTCTTATGGCTCCACTGAAATGGCTAGGTGGCGAGTGGAATTGACCCAGCGCTGTAGGATGCAGAACCGTGGATTAGAGCACAGGCTCTGACACCGGCTGGCTTGGATTGGAACCGGCTTTTACCTGCTCTGTATCTTGGAGCTCCTTACTGAAACTTTCTGTTTCCTCAGCTGTAACATGAGGATATAATGATGTTACTTCACTAATTTGTTGAATGAGCCGATTTCATAGGGCACCTGTCCTGGTGTCCAGTGCGGAGTAACCACTCAGCGGTGTTTCCTGTTTTGCTGGTCCTTCCAGAGCACCCTACCTGCCATGCCTAGCCTTTGTTAGTGGAATAAAATGGGTGGGAGTGAAGGTCTGGAGATGATTTACTCCGCATCTGCTTTCTCCGCACCCAGAGATGGTTTTCTTTGCCATCAAATATTACTATGCTTGAATTCATGTATTTTCGAGTTTTGCATTTGTATCTTTTGAATTTGTTATTGATCACTGTTAGTGGCAAGAAAAGGCTCTGAGAAATATTCACCCATTTCTCATAAGTTCACTGACTTGATGCAGGTGATTCTGGACTGGCGTGAGGAACTGTGGGGAGGTATTCCTGGCAGATTAAACCGGCTGCTCAGCAGCTGACTTGCTTTTGGCCTCAGGTTAGGACAAGCAGTGTGATGATATCAAATCACTGTAAGTAGTGTCTTCTTGTTTAGGCAAAATATAAGTGATTTTTCCCATTTGAAGATAAGTCTGGAAAGTACTTATTTAGGAATTTTTACAGAAAACTGAGAAGTACCAGTGAGCTGAGACGACTCCTGTTTTGGAATAACCACATTACTATTAGTTAATACTTAATAATTCCATGTTTAATGGCATGTGGTCAAAAGGATGCTGGACTGGGAGTCAGGAGGCATGGCTTTGTCATCTGCTCATTTGACAATTTCCCTAATCTCTGTGGTTTCTGGTTGTACAAATTAGTGTGGAGACTAGTCTCTTCCTTGCTCACCTTTGTGAGTTATTGGGGGGACCAGATGAGCGGATGTATTTAAATCTTGAAAACTGGGAAGTGCTTAACACATATAGGCTGCTGCCATTAAAGAATATGTACTTGCTTTCCATTGTGTATAAGATATCAATAATCATAAAATTACTTTATTATTATTCAACATCCTGATATCTTTGGCCCATTTCTATAAAATCATGTTTTTGTTTGTTACTGCCATTCCTGAAGTATCTACGTTGAAATTTGTCCATTTAGGATTTCATCTAGGAATATTTGAGAGACGTTTAGTTCCCCAATGATGAAGCATTTTCTAGACTTAATGCCAAGGGTTGTGCAAAGGGTTTTTCTTGCATTGTGATGGTAGTGAAAATACAGTGTCTACCCATTTCTGTTAGGGGATCTACACTCTCTGTTAGGAAGGCGTAAAAGCACTGAATCCAGTAGTACATAATGCAAGAAAAACATTTTAATCTGATAACTTGCAGAAATCGTCTTAACTTACTATGAAATTCAGGTTACCTGTGCTTTAAAAGTGCATATAAAATACATATTTTCTTTATTTTAACCAAATGAAATGATGAAAGCATAAACTAGATACCACCTGGTATATTATTAATAGAGAGGGGATGTGAGTCTTTTACAGAATCATTCCAAGGATGATTTTTTAAGATCTCTGTGTCATCTGCCCATCAGCTGGATGAACAAACCCAGTAACTGTATATATTATCACTTTTTGATGGTTCATAATCTTATGACTTGAACTACTAATTTCCATTGACCTGATGCAGACTTCTTTTGAGAATATGACCCAAGTCCACCGAGCATGAGAAGCACATTCAGTTAGTGGTTCGCCGGTTGGATCTGTTTCAGTAAACTCTTTATCAATTAGATATTCCCTTGTGTGAATGGAGCCTTCCCCTCCCAGGTGTTTATATTGGCTAGTTCACCGGGTGTCTGAGATAATTTTCTCTTTCACTAACTTGTGAGGCATAATAAGTATAATTTAACTGGACGCCAATTTCACACCTCTTAGAACCAGTGTTCCAGTGTTCTCTATGAGAAAAAAGGTCAAAGCCATTTGAAAGTTTTTCAGGTCCTTATTTCATTATAAATGTTGCCAGCGTTATTCAGCAACATTGTCATAGATGTGAAGTAAAGTTTGATATTTTAAGAACATTAGAGAATCGCATGTGGGTGTGTGACCTAACAGAGAGATTCCAGTGTACATTCCCGTTGGTGAGCTGATGAGAGAAGTCTCTTAAATTCCCATGTCCCTCAGGCAGTTCTCTACAGACCTGTCTCTATGATGCCATATCTTATGACAACTGAAATTAGTTATCTGTGTTTATCTTGTAAACTCCATGAGGGCAAAGGTCATTTTCTTATTTCTGTATTTTTCACAGCTCACATGTTCTAAGAGCACAGTGAATGAATCCTAGATTTACTAGGCGTATCCCATAACGTTATGTCTGAGCAGTTAGTGTAAGTTTTTAAATAAAACAAAATGCTTAGTATCTCCTTCACTAATGATTTAAATCCATGAGAAAATCAAGTTTAACTTTGAGTATCTGGCTGTTTATAGCAGCAGCATCCTAGTAGCTTACAGTAACATTTATTGAGCATTTGCATTTGTGCTAGGCACTTGGCATAGATTATGTAATTTTATCCCCACAAATAATGCTATGCAATTGCCAACCCTATTGTTTAGATGAAGATCCCAGGGCTTCAAATAATTAGCCCAAGAATGTACAGCCAAAGCATGATCTGGACTTAGGCCAGCTTTTCCACCTGAGCTTTTAGCCATTATCCAGTCTTTAATATTTGCCAGTTCTGCACTCAAGAAGCTGAATCCTGCTGATTGTTTTATTAGTTCTTCGGATGGTAGGTTAGCTCTTTCTGGCTTGAAGTACAACTTCTTATGTCCTGATGTTATAATTTGATTAATGCTACCTCATAACCTGAAAGTGTTAAGCATTCAAAATGCATAATTTTCTCCCCAGGATTTGGCACTTCCGGGGAAAATTTGACCGAAA